CTGACTAACCCTCGACATAAGGGTACTTCACAATAGAATGTAACATTAAACAATATCAATAACCCGACTAACCCTCGACATAAGGGTACTACACAATAGAATGTAACATTAAACACTATCAATAACCTATCTAACCCTCGACATAAGGATACTACACAATAAAATGTAACATTGAACACTATCAATAACCTGACTAATCCTCGACATAAGGATACTACACAATAGAACGTAACATTAAACACTATCAATAACCTGACTAACCCTCGACATAAGGGTACTACAAAATATAATGTAACATTAAACACTATCAATAACCTGACTAACCCTCGACATAAGGGTACTACACATATAATGTAACATTAAACACTATCAATAACCTGACTAACCCTCAACATAAGGGTACTACACAATAGAATGTAACATCAAACACTATCAATAACCTGACAAACTCTGAATCTGTCGTCGGCAGTAACTGGATTTTGTGTTTCTCATCTTCCTGCTTCTTCAACTTGCGTTTTTCCTCGGCCAACTTTTCACAAAGTTCTGAAAAGTAAACTACTTTAGTACAAACATACACTATTTAAAATTGGTTATATACATAGACTGTCTTAATGTTCAAACACGTATTTCCTTATTTCCTATTTCAATTGATTATTTACCCCACAAGTTGGTTTTGCCCCTGACTGCTTATTGACTTTCTGTCCCTGCATATATCCTTTTAGTTGGATTTCCTTCTTGTCATTTTCTTCACGAATAACATGAATAACTTGTAAAGAAATATATATATAATCAGTTGCAGTTTAAGGATGGAAATGTGCGACATTTTATAGGGTTTCGTAGGATTTTTTCCGGATCGACTTACTTATTCTATACAAAGTTATAATAAAAAAAAATCAACATGAAGCTTTACCCAAATCACGTGTGTTCACTTTTTAACAATTAACCTTCAAAGATGAATGCGTTTTGTGCGCGTGCATTCTTTTGTCCTTCTGCATGTACCGAATTTCACATTTTTCGTTGCTAGCAATCTTTACCGACTTTGTTACTGTTGTGTAAATCTTTATATCTGAGACAAACAGAAAAAAATCATTCCTGGCGGACGTGTTTGATAAGCTATGGCTAGACTGACTGAAAATGTCCGCAATCAAGAATGGTTCAGGCTGGCGTTGCCAAACATGTTTCTATACGCTTCGGTCGACTATTAATGCCATACGGAGACATTAACAGCGGTCTGGTAACAACAAGGAACGTCCAAGGTCAGGACGTCATTACGTCAGAACAATTACATTCAGGGTTTACACTTTCGGAACCACTTCCAAACTGCAGATTTGACGGCGAGAAGCATTTCTGGATTACAGAGAATAAAGTCCAAGAACCGTGATAAACCGCCTGCGTGAACGGCTCAATATATAATTATTACCTAAATGTTTTCCTTTTGTGGTCAGAAGTGAATCCATCAGACTCTTTTCTTTGTCTCTGAGCTTTCCCAATGAGTCCATACGTTCCTCATAGACCTGTATATCTGTCGTGACGAATAACAAGGTTCATTCGGTAAGTTGATACTGGAAACAGAAAGCTGATGACCAATACGATTCAAATCAATAATTAATATTTATTATATTTTGAGCAAGTATTCATTTCAATTACTTTTTATAATATAAATCTTATAAAAGTGTTATAGAAATGTTCGTGTTGTTTCGTGTTAATCCATGTGCTCATCACATACGTATGTCTTGGTAAAGATGCGCTGAAAGTTGAGAATGAAAAACATCATGACATAATCGATCCTCATATTTGTAGTCCTTAATGTTAAAAATGTATTTCGATTAGGACAATAATTATGTACGCGGATTTACACAACTGTATTCGAATCCTATTTGAATGTGTGCTTATTTTAAATTATTTATATATTATTTGTCTGTATATAAAAGGAATGAAATAAAGGTTATAATATTCAAATTATTTGTATAAAAGAAAAGAGTTGTGGTTTTTTTTATAAATAAAAAAGGAAGAATGAATTAACATTCATGAAATTGTTCTAGCATAATAATGTTGCAGTAAAAAATGGCCTGTTGAAAGTTGTTATAATTAATCTCTTGATGTACAAATACCAATACAAAGACAACAGACTGTGACTGAACCAGTGCAAACCTTGCTGAAGTTTATTTTTCTCTTTTGCTAAGTCTGCCAGCTGTTGAAGTGCCTCCTCTCTCCGGATATCCCCTCCATTACCCAACAGTCCAAACTCGGTGACAAATGTTTCTACATTTGAGCAAAACCTCTCATTCAAAGTGAATAGCTCTTCTTCGAGGCATTCCTGTGACATTACATGTAACAGTCAAATCGTTGCTACATATAATGATTCTGTTAATAATATTTATGTCTGTATTTGTATCTTTTTATTTCATTCATTAAAACATATTATGATTTTTAAATAACATACAGTAGTTGGTTATAATTAAAAACAAAATTAGTTAATGATAAGAAAATCATACTCTCCAAATATGAAAACGAGTGCAAGCTGAGACGTGATGGTTCATAATATGGTCACAAGATCCCAGCAGCTAAGATATTACCACCAATATTCCCGTAGAAGCCCGGGTTATCCAACTCATCAATTTACACATAAAAAATTGTCCTGAAAGCAATTGTTCTGGTAAATTCCCGTAATTTGATAATATTAAAAACCTGCAAAGTATTAACACCGTCGCATAATATAACCTCCAAATGTCATATTGTATTCTGACGTCTCTGTAAATGTTGAATTATAAAAATAAAATGTTGGAACTCAACTAGGACTAGTCTTACGCTCTACGGAATGAGCATCCTCGATACTCCAGGGGTTACGCTCACCTACGCTCTCTGCTCCCCTGGAATATGTTATAGCAAAAATGAAGGAACAAGAAGTCTAGTTTGATCCTTTGATGTACTTAAAAAGAATCTCGCGGTCGCGTAACGGTAAAAAAAAGACTGGCTTTGAATCGGGTGTCGCTCCTTTATAATCTTCAAAGGACAGCGATTCGTCAGGTTTTTTTTAACCTGATACCAATCAAACAGCTATCTTCGTGTCTTCAATTTTTCTATAACATATACCAGGGGTGCAGAGAACGAAGTGAACGTTACCCCTGGAGTATCGAAGATGCCAAATGAGCTTAAGAGAAATTCTCCCTAGCCGAGGCGGTAGGAAACGGCTAGTTCTTTACCAGGGTCAACATAGAATTTCAACAAAGGCATATTAGGAACAGTATGACGTACCAGTTGACTTTCTTGGTCTTTTCTTTCCTTCTGAAACTGAGATCTCTGATTCATGAGAATTTCTTTCTTGTTATTTATCAGCATCAGATTGACTTCTTCCTGGTTGAGATGAGCCACCTGTAAGACAGAAGTGTCTAGGTATGTATTACATCGTTCGTGACGGCTTGAACATATCTGATTGTCGAAAATCAGTTAGATAAGCCACCTGTAAGACAGAATTGTGTAGGTATGTATCGATACATCGTTTGTGACGACTTGAACATATCTCATTGTCGAAAAACGATTACATATTAATTAATTGGAATCAGATTGGATTACATATAGTAATTAATTGGAAACAACAATCGTTGTAAAGACATCTTAAAACATGTTACTAGAGTATACACGAATCGTCTCCATTAAAAGTTCCAGTGTTTGTACAACCGAAATTTTTACGACAGCCTGTCCCTGCCTGAATTCGAAAAACAAAGCATAATTTCTGTTGAAATGGAGAAGATATTCCTCATGCTTTTTCTGCATTTTGAGAAAATAAAGTATTTTTGTATCTTCAATAAGATTCATCAGTTTGGAAGTACACAAACAATGTACGTATTAAACGTTTTGCAACGTTTCAAGACCGACTGGTCCCTTTGTCAAGCTATGACTGAGAGAGCGATTTGTATGTTTTTGTATATTTTTCATGTCACTCGACCCGAGACGTATCGCCTATCGATAGGGAGCGTATACACACTGCATCAGATAGGTTGATACGTCCAATGTTTGTGTAAAAAGTAAAACTTTGATATAAAGTTTTTTGTGTGTGTGGGGAAGCAGCCTGTATTCGGTTGTCAAACTAGGAGAAAATAACTGAAAACATATGACATGAACTTATAAATATCAGGAAGGAACAGTCAAAGGTTTGGGACGTGAGCACTGAGGAGTAACCTAGTTTTGGAACCAAGTATAACGGTCAGTATTGACCAACAAACGGAATGACATAGATAATGGTACACAACAAATGATACTTATATATATTTTCATAAATTCTAGCTTTTATAATTCCAAAGAGTCGCCACTGGGGTAAAGGTTAATTATATTGCAAATTGTTTTACCAAGTCGCACCAGCTACTAGAGGTCGTATGACAATGCTGTCTACTGGCCAAGGCACCAGTCAAAATTATTAAATGAAATTCGAAGCAATTAATGAAGTACCTATTAAAAATTATTAATCATTAACATTTGTTAAGCGTCCTACCTAAGTTGCAAAACTACTCTAAGGCGCTTTACAGCACATGAATAATAGTATCCCTACAGTGACAGTTATAAACATAGTAGATAAAAAAAGCATACAAATCAGCATATTACATCAGGTAAAAGACATTTATCGCCATATGCATATTATGTTATAGGGTGGTGTGTACATAACGTACAATAGAGCCTAAAATGCAGACGCAAACAGATGGATCTTTACATCCTTCTTCGAATGTTGAGACAATGCAAAAGGCCAAACAATGTTAATATTTACTTTACACTGTGGCATTTCTTTCCGATGTCTTCAGTGGTACTTAACGTAAAACAAATCCATGTTACTAGTATAAAGTAATTCGAAACATAATAAAAATGGAAAATGCCTATAAAACACTGAATAAGTAACGTTACAAATTTTCATCTTCGGAAAAATCATCAGACAATTTTTTAAAAACTAATTATTTTACCTAAACCGTGCAAGATAAAGATAAAAAATACTCTGAACACTGAAGTTAAGGTCCAAAAATAGCTGTCGGTAACAAATTCCTGTGAGTAAATAAAATAAGCATTTACAATAAGTTTCGTTTCACGTACCTTTATTTCCTGTTCCTTGAGGAGGGCTTCTCTCTCATGTTTCAAGTGAATGATATCTGCTTCTTTTTGCCGTATCTGACTTTTAACTGTCAACAAATTATATCATAGAGTAAGTTAAGATGTTCGTGATCTCCCGGCATGTCTAGTCGCTGACCAATATTACCGTCTGTTCACCCAGGGACGTATAGTACTGTCCCTGGTTCACCAAACCTCTCGCCATACAAAACACCATTTTTGGCCAAATCAGTCCGTTTTCATGGAACCGTTCTCATGCTCAAGCATGGATTTTGTGCTCAAGGCAAATTTCTTGTTTCGGTTATAAATTAATTAACAAATATTTTATCAACGACTTGGTTCTATCGTAGTAAGTATAAGCTATAATGTAATGACACCGCCTGTGTTAAATCTTAAATCATCTGTGTTGTTTGTTTTAATCATATTCTTGCTTGCGTGGTGAACTTCTTTTCTATGACAATTATATAAGTACTATTTTTTTTTTTTTTTATCTATAACGGTTTATACCAATATAGGTATATGATGAGCACTTATTAGGGTGTGAGTGGTGTATCCGTGTGTAACTGGTGTTTGTATTCAGTTCCATGGGGACCTTTACAGCTATATTTGGACCAAAAATGCCACGAGTATATATATATATAATCATTGCGGTGGCATTTTTACCGAAAGTCGGTCTTAACCCCTAAAACATGTAAAACTACTCGGAGCACCTTAGTTTAAGTCGAAATAAAGTTGCAACAAATTATCAGGTCCCTGTGTCCAGTTCACGTTAGCTGTAACAAATTCTCTTGTCCTTGTCCACGGGACTGTAGATATTTGATTAAATTAACTAATTAAGTCATGTCACCATGCTCATTCTGTATCATAAACACGTGCGAAATAGTGTATCACCTTCTTGCAAATGATTCTTTCTTTCCTGTGCTCTTCGTTCTGAATCAATGATTTGCGCAAACAAATCATTGAGAGAAGACGACATTATGATTGAATTTTCCCGCAAATCCACGGACAAAAGTTACATGGACGCTTATTTTTCCAGCGATGTTAAGAGTAAACAAGACCATGACCATGACCATTCGTTTCGAATCTCTCTAGATTTATCCATTGTGTCTGTAGACTATTTTAAGCAGTGTCGTAATAATTCGCGGAATAGCCGGGTGTTCTTCGAATCGATTTGTTTAAATGTTTATAGACGGTATCTATGAATCACCGAGGTGAAGTATGTTTCGATGGGTGTCATTGCTAAATTTAGCACATGACCGTATCATTTTGGGTGGTGGTATATAAACACAGGACACAAATTCATAATGGCAGAAGGAGGATATTGCTCAGCCGATTTAGAAGTTGACACTTTTGAAATCACAGACTTGCAGCAGTCATTGGAAAAAGAAACAGACGACATGGCATGTACGAGCAGCGCCGAACTGACCGCTGGCACTACCAATGAGGCTCATGACGACAACACCATGCAAAAATTCCTACAGAAATCACAATGGTGAGTTGGTTTTTGATTTACCAGTTTATTTTACATGTAATAATTTTATAACTGACTAAATCAAGCCTCTACTCCGACTAAATCAAGCCTCTACTCCAACACGGCGAAATACTTTTGACAAGCGCCGTGTCGCAGTCGGCACAATCATGCCTGATAAAATAATAGCCGATCATGATCAGCGGCCCATCATGTTACAGGAGTAAACAGACAGAAAAAGATGGTATTGTCATCTAAACTTTCATTTTCAAATATCCCAACTGATAATTAACATCGAAATTCAGATGTGTTATATTGAACTTTTACTTCAAGTGATTAAAATGATACATATCGACGTTAACTGTCTGTAATAACCACGGACAATCTAATTCCGTGGTAATAACCTACTCATAAGGCTTTAAAGCTGATGTCTTCATAAAAAAATAATTCACTGGATTTATACCATCAATAATAATATTCATCAGTTTGGAAATATGTTATATCAAAGTTTTACTATAAATACACAATGTACGTATTACATTTATAACATGTGTTAATTGGTTGCTATGAAATGACCTAGTATATGAAGTTCCTTTATATACCTGGGTCTTGAGGAGTTTAATTCCTCTTTTATGAGCTGTGGAGAGTTTATAGCAAATGCCAAAAGCTATAGTTTGGCTTAGTTTTAATACATCGCCAAAATGCAGATTTTTATCATTATTATTTTCCACCCCCAGTGAGCGTCTATATGAATTAAGGAATCTGCAACATGGAGCGAAACCTGTGACCAGCCAAGGTCATAAGGAGATGATCAACAAATTCTTCAGGAAGAAACAGACTGCTCAAGAACAAGCAGCAAGTCATGGGAAAGAAAATGTCCCCGTCAATGAGGACAATGTGGAGGAGCACCGCCCCGAGACAATTGTTGTCGAGATTCAGGGACTAGTCGAGCAACAACGTGTATCTACATCCCTCGGAACAAATTTCCGTCGCCACCTTGAAAACATTATTAGAGGCAGCATTTCCACAGTGGCAAGAAATCACACCCCACGTTCATTTTCCTCACGACAGTCCTCTTCATCTCCCTCACCCGCACCATCCCCGCGGGAAGAAGCAACCCCGCAACCAGAACAGGTGCCACAAGTGGTACCAGTTCCTTCTCCGCTTGTCACTGCCCCCACCTCCGTCGACAGGAGCCGAAGTAACACCCTCAGCTCAAACAACAGTTCAAGCACACACAGTAAGTCCTAAGGGTTTCAACTAATATTTGATCCTATGAGTCACTGTGTTTATGTTTTTTTAAAGTGCTGTTAGACCAAGTCAAATCCATGGAAAAGGTATTTCCAGGTCATTATTTTACAAGTTAATTAATGTCTATTACTATTTTCTGGAGTATGAAGGGAGGTTTTTAATTCTTAGTATTTGGTTTAATTGAAATTTATAGAAACATTTTTAAATATGACAAGGATACAGTTTTCTGAAAAGTTAAAACTTCAAGCACAGTAGATTCTACAGATACACTGTACTTAAAAACACTGGATAGCTTTTGGAGATATAAATATTCTGTTTTAATATACATGATTTAATTAAAGCATAAACGGAAACATGAATGCATAATTATATTCATTATTTTTTACAGGTAGTACCCCGCCTGAGCCTGAAGCTATACCACAGGATCCCGAAGTGAGGGCTCCTATACCACAGTAAGTCATCAATATGAAATTTAAATATCACAGGGAAATATTTGCACTTGACTGCTTTTACTACAGTGTCGGAGCTGGCTCAGCATTGACGCAGAATTTATAATTGTCATTTGTACCAGGATTATGGCGTGATGCGACTAGTGTCAAATGAGATTATGTTTACAAAAACAGAATTTACTTTTTGGATTCATAAGATTCAATAATTCAAAAAAAAAATCTTGCGTAGCAATTTTTTTCTGTTGCTTAGAATTAATGATTTATTGAAATGCTATTGGGTTTCAACATACTTAACTTGAACATAGGTTATTTTCTAGTAGATTTTATGCATAATTACTGAATTTATATATGTTTGTTACAGGACTTACCAGAGGATCCTGGGGTATGACTCGGAGGACAGGCACCATGAAGACATGGTCCAGGAGATCAGTGAACTCGTCCACAGCCGCATTGTGACGTCCACACTAGAGGGAGACTTCAGGACCCGTCTGGAGATCAGCATGCAGGTATAATCAAATTATAATACAGCCCAATACTCTTCAAGGCAAAGTTTTACTGAAATCATTTTATAAAAACAAATTGAATAGAGATTTTGTTAGAAGCAGATTGCCTGTAAAATTACATGTTTTCATTAAGTGGTCACTACTTAAATTGAATATCAATTCAGGGTTTTTTCTATGTCACAGGGGTTAGTAAAATGCCCCATTCCGTCTGGGAAATAGACTTATTTTTTTACAAATTACTAGATTTTTTGCCCAATCTCAGGGTACATGATGATTTGTTTTAGAAAATAATAGTTACAAGTAAATAAAACTGCTTTTTTTCTTGAAGAGAAGCATTAAATTGAAATAACCTAAAAGACTGAAGATTGTATTGGCAGATCAGAGATCAGAGAAGTAAGCAACCTTTTTATGGGTTTTAATTAAGGGCATCAATTCNGGGGGGGGGGGGGGGGGGGGGGCACTTATAGGGACAGGTACATTTATTTGGTTGAATATAGTATGCACACATTTTTTTTCCAATTCACCTAGTAAAAACCCTGTAATTTTTCTCCTGTTTGATATTTATTGATATTTGATGCAACCAACAGACTCAATTCTTTTTGTAGGAGTTACCTCCCTAAGTACTGATTTCTCTTTATGAAATTTATTATTTGACAGGAACGAGTTGCCAGCAGTGGGTTTGATGGCTCCAGAGTCCAAGAATTTGTACAGAATATCAACCAGTCGCAGCCTATCGAGAGGAACGACTTCTCAAATTTGGGTATCAACGTGAATGTCCCAGCTGACAACTGGGATGCCATCTCTGTAACCAGCGTCAGTGCCCATGCTGTTCCTTATACACAGGTAAAAATAAATCAAGATGTGTTTGAAGTTCTTTACCTACTTCAGATTTTCTTGCTCTAAATATCATTTTTTTTCATTTTAGAAGTATTCAAAACAAAAATATGTTCATGTCATATGATAAAATTAATATATTTTTCCCTCATTTAAATTTTTAAGATTTAAGTAAGATTTTTTAAGCAAAGTGTATCATTAAAAAAACAATATTAGAATGTGGTTAAAAAAAATATTTGAATGTACATACCTTTACTACCTACCTGTCCTACCCAGTCATCAACACACACATTTTTTTTGGAACTGTTGTAAAAGTTTGACATCTTTCTGCAGTTTTTCTGTGATTTGAAATGTTTGTATAATCACTGTCGATCGATATTGTTGTTCAGTTTAAGTGTAAGTACCGTATTACAATTTGGTTACTTTTCCTCTACAGTCGAGTCGGTACATGAGCCGAGAGATTCAGAGTCTGAAGGCACAGCTGATGGAGATGAAGAATATGATGAAGCTGAGCTTCGACCTTCAGATGGATATCCAGAGGTCAATCAGACAAGAGGTGGCTGCGGCAATGAATGACGTCAAAAGTAAGTTAATTTTCACATCTTTTACAAATCGCACATTCCAGATTTAGTTCTTCTTGAACTGAAAATTAGTGATGAGCTGATAATAATTGAAAATAGATCTGTTTGCCCATGTATTGTAATATAAATCACAATATATTGCCATTGGAAAATATATATGAAAATGGGCTTGGTGGTTAATTTTAGAAAAGGGAGTTAAAATTCAAAAACTTTCAAAATGAGATATTGACGATATGGATCTTGTACAGATTTAATGTTACGTTTTATGATATTTCTAAACAGTGGTTATTACCATAATAGGCCTTTTCACCATAATAAAACTTCAACAGATCCCCACCACTACTTATAGTCTCTGTTATATGGTAGACCGCTGTATCTGTTTGGCAGTGTTGTAATTTGCAAAGCTTAAACATGGAATAGATGCATAAAAAAGGCTTTCAGAAAGTATTGTGATACAGTGATGTTTCATAATATTAATATGATGAGTTCTATGTCCAATATTTTTGTAATTTGTGAAACATCTTTCTGTTGAAATATTGTGACAGCCCTATTCTTCAGTAATATGTTAGAGTTACTTCCCTTATTTGTCAGAAAATAATCATCATTAGAAAAAGACTTAAACTGTATGAAAAATTTAAGTGTTATTTTATTTTTCAGGAGCTGATGGGAACACGGCCTTGCCTGTGGCTGCCAAGTCTAAACCAGTCAATGATACTCACTGTTTGATCTGTCTGGACAACCACTCAGACTCCGTGCTTTACCAGTGTGGACACATGTGTGTGTGCTACACTTGTGGACGTAACCTAATGGAACGTGAATCAAAATGTCCAGTGTGCAGGGCCCCTATCAAAGACATAATCAAGGCCTACAAATGTAACGAGGACTGAAAAACTGTTGTTCTTATGCCAACTGGCACTTCAGAGTGTAAGAAGTTATAGTGATTCACAAGGATTATTTACAAATTGTCAAAGATCTATATGTTATACATGTAAGGCTGGACATATACCTTATCAGGGCCTGGGAAATTTTACAATGTTTTTGTATAGGTTGGCCTCATCATGCACTAAATCAGGGCCTTGATGATAGGAATACACCTCACTCTATGCACGGCTTGCTTTATCATGTACAGTACCACCATAGGGCCAAACTATGGATACCATGCTTCATGGCACCATGTACCATATCGGGGCCTAGAGAGGATTACAATTCTCTCTATTAAAGGCTGGCTCCATCATGTACCACTGTAGGGCCAATCTAAGGATACAATGCTTTCTGGCACCATGTACCACATGAGGGCCTGGAGAGGATTACAATTCTCTATTAAAGGCGTGGCTCCATCATGTACCACTGTAGGGCCAATCTAAGGATACAATGCTTTCTGGCACCATGTACCACATGAGGGCCTGGATAGGGTTACAATTCTCTATTAAAGGCTGGCTCAATCATGTACCACTGTAGGGCCAAACTAAAGATAAAATGCTTTCTGGCACCATGTACCACATTAGGGCCGGGAGAGGATTACAATTCTCTATTAAAGGCATGGCTCCATCATGTACTACTGTAGGGCCAAACTACGGATAAAATGCTTTCTGGCACCATGTACCAGATGAGGGCCTGGAGAGGATCACAATTCTCTATTAAAGGCATGGCTCCATCATGTACTACTGTAGGGCCAAACTAAAGATAAAATGCTTTCTGGCACCATGTACCACATGAGGGCCTGGAGAAGATTACAATTCTCTATTAAAGGCATGGCTCCATCATGTACTACTGTAGGGCCAAACTACGGATAAAATGCTTTCTGGCACCATGTACCAGATGAGGGCCTGGAGAGGATCACAATTCTCTATTAAAGGCATGGCTCCATCATGTACTACTGTAAGGCCAAACTAAAGATAAAATGCTTTCTGGCACCATGTACCACACGAGGGCCTGGAGAGGATTACAATTCTCTATTAAAGGCGTGGCTCCATCATGTACCACTGTAGGGCCAATCTAAGGATACAATGCTTTCTGGCACCATGTACCACCTTAGGGCCTGGAGAGGATTACAATTCTCTATTAAAGGCTGGCTCACTCATGTACCACTGTAGGGCCAAACTAAGGATACAATGCTTTCTGGCACCATGTACCACCTTAGGGCCTGGAGAGGATTACAATTCTCTATTAAAGGCATGGCTCCATCATGTACTACTGTAAGGCCAAACTAAAGATAAAATGCTTTCTGGCACCATGTCCCACATTAGGGCCTGGAGAGGATTACAATTCTCTATTAGAGGCTGGCTCCATCATGTACCACTGTAGGGCCAATCTAAGGATACAATGCTTTCTGGCACCATGTACCACATGAGGGCCTGGAGAGGAATACAATTCTCTATTAAAGGCTGGCTCCATCATGTACCACTGTAGGGCCAAACTAAGGATACAATGCTTTCTGGCACCATGTACCACATGAGGGCCTGGATAGGGTTACAATTCTCTATTAAAGGCTGGCTCCATCATGTACCACTGTAGGGCCAAACTAAGGATAAAATGCTTTCTGGCAACATTAGGGCCTGCAGAAGAGGATAATGCACTGCTTCAAACATGTTTCTTCAGGAAGAACTCTGAATGGCCTATTTGGACACCATAACATCGTGCTATTCTCCAATATTGATTGTGTGTTTAAAACACCGGTTGTGACACATTTCATATTTTTTTCGAGACTTTTTTTCTTGTGTAAGGAAATATTAATCATAAAATGTAAAGTTTTTGCTAAATAGGTCTTACTGATTGCCTTGCACTCCAGAAAACTAGTTGGTGCTGGCACCGTATTTTGTGTATGTTTTCAGTGTTTTATACAGGATCATCAGTCATTATAAATACATCAATATTCATATTTTTGTTATACAAATATATGCTCGTGCAATAAAAAGTTATTAAAAATTATGCAATTGTATTCTAATTTGTTGAAAATTGAGAGTCATACTGAAGTTTCGGAACTTAACCCTCTATATTTTTACCCTATAGAATATTTTGTGTATACTGATTGGCAAAAAGTCCCATTAGCTAACTTAAGAAGTGGTGTTTTAAGACTTCATAATTAAATATGCCCTAACCACTGTCAAACAACTTTTTTCTGGCACAACTATAGCTTTGATAAATCATTTCTGAAGAGAAATCCATACCTTGAGGAAATTGATACATAAAAAGGGTAACATTCTCAGGTCACCTGAGCTTTAGCTCAAGTGACCTATTGCTATACGTCGTCGTCGGTCGTCCGTCGTGCGTCTTCCGTTAACATTTTACATTTTCAACTGAGGCTGAAATACTGGCGAAGGGATTTCATTGATACTTCACGGCAATGTTACTGACATCTCCCTGACCAAGTGTTCTTATTTTTTCGGGTCGATCAGAAATTAAATATGGCCGCAACGGCCGCCATTTTGAAAAACTATTTCAAACTTAAAGTCAAGTTCTGCTGGGCTGATTGAACTGTTAATTGGTAGGAATGATCGACTCATGGTCCTGACAAAGTGTTGTTAATTTTTGGGTCGATCAGTAATTCAATATGGCCGCCACAGCCTCCATTTTGAAAACTATTTCAAACTTAAAGTCAAGTTCTACTGGGCCGATTTAACTGAAACTTGGTAGGAAGGATCGACTCATGCTTCTGACAAAGTGTTGTTATTTTTCGAGTCGATCAGAAATCTAATTTGGCTGCCATTGCCGCTATTTTGATAATAACTATTTCAAGCTTAACATCAAGTTCTAATAGGACGATTTAACCGAAACTCTGTCTAGGAATGATCAGTTTGTGGTCCTGACAAACTTAGGTTAACGTTATACTTAACTATTTTTTACTCAAATTGGTACATATTTCAACAACAAAAATAAATACTGTAGGACTTGGGTGACTGTTAAAGGGGCATCACGGTGAAGTAACTTTATGTTTTGTCTTTTTTTCAAATACTTCATAAACAGTGGGACTCCTTATGGAAAATAACGATCGGATTTGGCTGTTTTAAGTTTAAAAATACCTCGGGTAAGACCAGGATTCGAGCCCTAGATCACTGATCGCTATACTGTCCGTCTAACAAACTGAACTACCAGCGGTACTAGATATAGCCTTGCCTGTTAATACACCCATAATGTAATCAAGTATTATGGGTGTATCGACAGATGAGGCTAGTACCTGTGCCTGGTCAACCGAAATATCCTGCCCCAGACATGCTACGTTATTACCAAAAGGATATTAAGGGGAGATTACTGGCATATAATGATGAACTACATTGGAAGTCTCCTCTATTTGGCCTGCAAAGGGACGGAGATCCTTAAGTGCTTTCATAAAGTCACAAATACAATACCGACCCTTAGTTTGTAACTGAAATACTTGTGTATTAAGAACAAGTTTTCCACACCTGTAGCACTGCTGAATGCTGTTATTATTACATAAAAGACCAAGTGAGCTTACGCAATAACGCAGCATCGGTCTAGTGTCAACCTTTTTCATTTAAATAGCTTCTCTTTAATAAGTCAATGAGTCTAGGGCGATGATATTTGGCCTATAGCTTGACGGGATCCAGTTTGTTCAAATCAATGACCTTGACCCACTTTCATGGTCGCATTGGTCAAATGTGTCAAAACTTTTCACATACTTCTTCTGTATAACCAAAAAGGCGTAGAGTGATGATATTTGGCAAGTAGCGTTATGGAATGAAGGGCTATCGATTTTAATCAAATGAATGATCTTGACCCACCTTCAACATCACAAGGGTCAAATGCGTCAAAAACATTTACTGGTCCTGTACTTGTAATAAATTTAACTTAATAACTAAGAATCGAAGGGTGAGGCTATTTTACAAGTAGCGCTGTGGAATAAAGTTCTATCGAGTTCGATCCAATAAATCTCAATACATGTCCTTGAATATTTCAGACAAGGACACGGTGCAAATGCATATGAAAAGTTTTAACATCTTTTCCTGACTAACCAAAATGCGTAAGGTCCTAATTTTTGGCCAGTAGCATACTGTAGGGAACATTTATCAAGTTTTTTTCAAATGAATGATCTGACTCAGTTTCATAGTCACAGGCATCGAAAGTGCGAAAATCTGTAGGCCTAAGTTCATAATATTCTGTCATGATTTAAATGCTTCAATGAAGGGCAATCTATTTTGTTCAAATAAACGACCTTGACATACCGGCAAGGTTGGGTTGTTAAGGAGCGAGGGTTGATTTCTGCGTAACTATATTCTCCTTGCCTTTTACGGTTGTCAATTAGGACCATTCTTAATTTGTTCATGGCGATTGCTCATATCTGTAGCGGCACCCGAAGTGACCTCACTACTGCAGGATTAAAAAGTAAAACGGCGCCACTGCGTCTCTATGAGTGTTAGAGATACGTTATCTTTGTAGATGTCGGGGATGGGAGTTGGNGGGGATGGGGGGGGGGGTCGGAGAGAAGTGGACATTCGTCAGTAATACGTGGAAATATACACCAATATGTACATATCCTAAGCATACATAATCGTGATGTGATTGCTATCAAACTAACGTTACATGTATGTTTATCGGTTTGTAGAATGCACACGAATTACGATGCATGATTCATGCACCTATCTATTTTATATGCTTCACGTGTGCGGACATGTCTTCAAACGCGCCATGCACAGGAGCCCGATAATTTTTTACAATACACTGATGATATTATTTGGGGGCGGCATTTTTACTAAGACTTCGAATCAGTTGACGAAGATAAACTATACCGGTATACATCAGTAACCCCAGTTGGTTAGAGCGACGGTACAATGCTTAAAGGTCCTGGGTTCGAATCCTGGACTGGCCTCGTTGCATTTACATCTTCATTATTTTTTCAGTTCTGCACGGTATCGCTTACTTTTAAGAAATGTTCCATCGAAGCTAAAAATATGCCAGAAAAGAATGTTTTAAATGCAAAGTTACCGTACGTGTGTGTAGTGCCAGTAACGGGGGTCCTAAACCTGGAGGGTCATGTATATGGCCATGTCATAATAGTTGATTGCGCATAAAACGGTTGTGTGTCAGATTTGTCTGGACTATTTTGTAGGTACGCCGGGCTGACTCTAGACTTATCGGCGTATTGTCGGGATTAGCCAACGACTTATCAGCAAATAAACCCTTCTAAACATGTAAACACAATAGTTTATGTATTTTAAACGACACTTCATATATGCTGGCGGTATATTGATGTCTGGTCGTTAGGGCTGGTCCGGTGATAGACTACCACACAAGGTAACGACTATTTGTCTTACAGCTTTATAGCAGTGGTAACCATCATAGAACTCTTGTTTAAGGCCTTGGTCACGTTTTATACGTGTTAGAGTGCGTAGTTCTATAGGTATACGCTCTTCTGAAGTCTACAGTCGCAGCCATTTCATAATTTTATTTACGGAGTGGTTATTAACACTCGGGCTAGATAAGCAAAAACAGGTATGCCGGGTGGCGGATTCCGGAAAGTTTTCTTGTGGCGATGGTAATTGTGCGTAGACGGTTGTGCATATCCGGATAGAACTAAAAATAATAAATGTAAGCTTTGGTCAACAATAAAACTAAGTGAATGGATTATTGATTGAATTTAACAATGTGTATCAGTATATACACGTAAGATAACGTGTTTTGTTACTTATTATAACAAATTATAATTCGTTGTTGCTAGATATTCCGAATGGCCAATGGAAGAAAGGCAATGTCCATTCTGTCCAAATATAGTGAAAATTGAAAAAGAAAACTGATTTTCTGTGTGACTGTCCTACATTTGAAAACATTGAAGGAAAACTATCGAAAGCAATACTTGATAATAATAATTTTGCTGGTTCCTATAGCCATCACGTTTTTTTCATCTAATGAAATCTATTGATTTATAATTTTTACGCGTAAAGTCGCTTTCCCTCATGCTTATAATTAAATAAACGTCAACAGATTTTAAATAACTCGGTAAAGTTAATTCTATTGTGTAGATTACGTAGATAATAATAAAGTGTTGCAATTAGGCCGACTGAGACTGAGCGTCACATCAATTTTAATATTGAAAACGCATTTTTGATGATGTCTTTTATCAACAATATTTATTTTTATCTGTATTTGTTATATCTAATGTGACGAATGACACTTATTTAAAATATTGATTGATTGGTTGATTGATTGATTGACACACCCAACCCTTTGTGTTTCGACCACCGTCATAACAATGGTCGTATACCAGGTATACCAGAAATGTTTCAATAGTCGTGACGTCGGCTCTACAGCGCAAGTACAGACACAATGTAAAAATGTTAATCTCAGTCTACAGGGGCTGACCCAGGAGTTTAGTAATGGGAGGGGGAAGGGTTGTGGAGTGTTTTGTGTTTCAAACATTTTGATTTTTAGAAATTATGTCTGTTGTGTATACCGCTCGAATTGGATGAGCGAAGGGGTTCGGGATGGGGTTTGCATGCTAACACCCCCC